GGTTTATCGGTTTATCGGTTTATCGGTTTTTAAATATGTTAAATCAATAACCAAACCAATAAGATTTTTTTTATCGGTTTTTGATTTATTGGTTTTGGTCCTTAACAATTCGATTTTCGGTTTACCAATAAGAAAATACTTATAAAACAAATATATGACTTTTCTAATAAATTTGATGCGAAACACAATAATGTAACTTTGCAAATGCTCATAAAATAGAAACAATAATAACAAACATGAAAAGAAATATACAAGTGTAACACAAAGAGAAATTAAGAAAAATAGGGTTTTTACTTTAGATTTAAACGTGTTGTCTAATGTGAAATTGTGAACTCAAATTTATTGTGAAGTGTGAATTGAAGGCTAAAGGACAAAAATAGGAAGTAGTAAGATATTGAGATTAATATATAATATTTAGGGTATTTTACATAAATCCCACTATTTTAAATCCTAATTACTAGGATTCCTGATAGTTTGTAATATTATCCATCCACATATTTTTGAAAAATCTAAAAAGATTGTTATTTTGTAAAGAACTACTACAAAAAATTATGAATACTATGTATTTATATTGCAATTTGCACATATATTCCACAATAAATAAATATTATTCTTACATCTAAACATTGCATTAGTTGTGTAAGAGTCTTATAATATTGAAAATCAAATATCGTATGAGTTATATGAAGATTATACTAGTTATTCACAAAATATATCTCAATATATCTAATTCGGAATCTCCTTTGAACTTCCATATTGTATACACTACATACTGTACATATATATTGCTTATTAAATATCAAAGCATGGTTCTGTTTTTATTTTTTTAAATAAATATATAAAGAAATATATATATATTTTTAAACTATTTGCAATTCAAATGCCACCAGAATTAATGGGGCACTCCCACTCTTCTTTTTTGTAAAAAATCAACCATCATTTGGGGCCAAAAGATTTTTCTTGAAAAAGTTACTACTTATGAATATATATTGTTCGATCAATTAATTTATCAACATAGATAAAATATACATAATTAATACATTTTGTACATAGAGTTCATTGTATATATGTAAATTATAAATTTAATAATTGTAATATATTAAAATTCTAAATTTATAAATTTTAAATATCAACTCCGTATCTATTAATAAACCTCCATCAAGATAGAGCATACACACAAAAAAAAAAACATGAATTTAAATAAAGGTGGGTAGGGTGGGGAAAGGGGGGGGGGGGCATTGC